TAAAAAAAATTAATGTAGTATTTAAAATGTCAGCTGGAATGGGTATCAGATTTAGAAAGGATTACAAGCGCAGTATGCAAACAAACAGAAAATCAGGAATTTGTATGTCACCATTCCACAAAAAAGAAAACTTCAGATGGCTGAACATACACATGGAAGCCAGACCCTTTTCCAGGGTGACATCAGAAAGACATGGAACTTTGCTTATTATAATTTCCCATCTCTCCCCCCCCCTTTTGTTTGCTTTTCTTCTTTTGAAGTTGCAGCTGTAAGCTGTGTGCATGCGTATGTACTTTTAACAACTATTCGTCCAAAATTTGGGCAAGGGAAAAAATGATACTCACTCAACATTAATCTCATCTCTCAAAAATGATTTGGAAGATTTGGTCAACTGAAGGTAGGAATGTAACTAAGTCATATGCTAAGTGTTCTGCCTTGCCTACTAGATCCTGAGGTCTTCTAGAGGGTCTTGCAGCAGGATCCTCTAGCAGATCTTCACACTGCCAGTGATCCTAGGAGATGTTGGGTCTGGACTGCTGAGGCTGCTGAAGAGGCCAGACACCATCTTCGCTCTGCAACCTGCAAGACCTGCTCCCTGCCTTGCACGCCATCTGGTCTGGGAGGGTGCTGTTGTGAGGTTCTGTTACTGCTGTTAATGCTATTTTTGCATCTTTATTTTGATCTTATGATTTATGTGGAAATTGTTCAATTTGGTTGCGCACTTTTTGATGCTTTCTTGATTGTTTATGACTACTTTTTCTATGCTTGTAGTTAAGTAATCTTAAAGGTACGTTGTAAGCCACCTTGAGCATGGTTTTAACTTTGGAATGGTGACATACAAATAAAATGATTGATTGATTGATTGATTGATTGTCATCCCTGCCCCTGGACTGGAGGCCATCATATCAGCTGCCTGGGTTCTGGGCCACTTCTCATACCCCTACACCTCACATCTGCCATAGGGTCACAATGCTTATTCAACTGAATGGACTTAAGTTACTGGAATCAATTTATTTCAATGGGTCTAGCCTGACTTAGATATCACCCTATAAATTTATTGTGAAAGAATCAGAATCCATCTTGAGCATAATCTTTTTAAATGGTTTTAGAACCTTCAGCTGTTGATCATCTTTAGTGTTCTTAGTTACTTTGAGCCTTTGAGGATAAAGTGGGTTGTAAGTCAAAATAAATAAATAATCTTGAAGTTTAAAAGGCATAGCCAAGCTTGCAACAAAGAGAAAATCCATCAGATCAAAGGACCCATAAACAAATAAGAAAGATTTGTGATATTCAGCTGAACATCTTACAGACAACTTGATTTTATGGAGCTGTGAGAGCTTTGAACAGGTAGCAAATGCTTAGAATACAAAACTTCACATTACTTTTTTTGGGGGGGGGGTCCTTTTCAGAAGAAAAAAAAAGTGATGCAATTTGCATCAAGCAAGATGCAGGGCAGGCCACAGAATAATAAGTAGGTACTGTCTATCATTCAAGATAAGAAACAGTGCTCCCATTAAGTATCAAATGCTGTGGCTGCCCCTTTGGCTTCCGATCAATCATGCTCTCAAACTGGAGCCCCTTTGTGTTTTGCACACTGTTGGATTTGGCATTACTAATACGTTCCTGTGTCAAAAAGCCTAGTTACCCATGGTAACAAGATTTTTGAGAGTCTCTTTTTAATGAGACTCTACTATGAATCTAAAAATTATGTTTAAGTAGCATCTGCTAGCCTGTTCCAGGGCAGATAAAATATTTTGGCAACTTGTTCTTGGCCCCTGTCAGAGGCACAGAATTTTGCACTGCCTGCCTGCCTGCCTCTATTTAAAAGTATTTATATGCAACCCAATGAGGAAGTTTTGGGAGCAGTTTACAACAAACATAAAAACAGATAAAAAATACAATAGAACAGGTCAACAGTAAATACAAAAACAAATAAAAATGCAACAGAACAGGTCTATCTGCTTCTCTTGCCACCCATCAATAGATTTGCTACTCATTTTCACATTGTTTTTATGTGCTTTACTGCTAATCCGGAACAAAAGAATTTACACTGAATCTCTTTTGCCATTCTGTTGCCTTTCAGCCAGTTTAAGGAGTTCCTTTTGGAGCTTTTTGCACAAGCCCCCAAATAATTTGGTGTAATTCACAAACATGGCTTCTTTGAACAGTTGGATAGCCTACCAGCATGCAAAGCTGTCATATACCATGTCAGACCACTTCTCAATACGAAATGAATGTGGCTTCTCAGAGCTTCAAACAGGGATTTCCCCCAGTCCTATCTGGGATTTATTTATTGCATTTATACCCCATGTTTCCTTCCTGGAGCTCAAGGTGGTATACATGGTTTTTCCTCTTCCCATTTTATTCTCACAACAGTCCTGTAGGGCAGACTGGACTGAGAGACAGTGACTAGCCCAAGTGACTGGCCCAATAGGTTGCCAATAGTATCACATGTGCTTGTGATAGTCATCTATGTCCTTACATGCATAGCCTCCTGCTGCAGGATAATGTTGATGGGGTTAAATCGGGTTAGAAGGGGTGAAAAATGGAAGGTTGAAATAAAGAAATGATTCCTTTGGAAATTATGAAGAACACCTACTATGTCCAGACCCTCATCTGGAAGTTGCAGTTAGGATGGTTAAAAGGTCAAGCACACAAGTCAAAGGCCACTCATGACATCTGTTGATTTAAGAAACTTGCCAAAACTAGGTGGGTACAAATTACAGTAAATGATGTAAACTTGGTGAAAGACCGGTGCAATTTTTTTGAACTTAGGAGGTCAACTTTTTTAGCCATGACAGCTGGTTGTAGTTACTGGCCATAAAACTGAATTGTGTTTCTGATCAGCATCTCAAATTCTCCCCCCCCACCCCTTCTACCTAGCCAGGTTCAGGAGAAGTTTGTGACTTGGATGAAGTGGAATCTACTTAAATTACCAACTATAGGGCACACTTCTTGCTGCCATGGCTCATGTGCTGGTGCCAGGATTCCCTCACCAGCAGCATGGCAGATTGGGAGGTGGGCTGGTTCTACCCATCCTTCCCCCCACCCGCTAACTTGAGACTGAACAGGTGTTGAAATATACAGGAGAAACAGTTTCCAATTCAGCTGCGCCTTAATACTTTCATCATGTGAACTAATGTGAAACTGTGGTACTTCATAATTTGTGGTTACATATTAAAAATGTGTGTCCTTGTTAACATATACTCCTGGTATCTGTTTATTATCTAGGTACCAGGATCAAAATGAAGTCTGTATCTAAGAATGGAGAAATAAAAATATTCCTCTATCACAAAGGGTATTTGTGCCAGCCATATAAGAGCCCCTTATACCATCTTCAGTTGGCATATGAAGGGCAAAACAATAGTCCCCACCTTAGATTTCTGTCTAACAGAGGATACTCCCTTCTTCAATATCTATTAAAAGTATACCATTTTTAATCTTCATATATTCATTTAAATAAAACAGATACCCAAGAAAACAATAAGAGAGGCACACACAATATTTTCGATAGTAGCTATTTAATAGTTTTAGTGAAGGACTTGAGAATCTTAATTTTCATTACATGGGAGCTAGTATTTAAGAAAGCCTTGAGTGGTATACATAATGCATAGGCTGGGTTTTTTATTTTATTTTAGAACACTCAGGACATTAGTACTATATATAGGCAAACATCAAATGCATGGAATTGTGCCTCTGGCATCTGTGGAGTCCTGCAACTTAAGCAAACTAAAGCATGATGCAAGTGCACATCTAGCCACAAGACATGTTTGCAGGCATAAATAAGTGTTGTTGGCTCCCTTAAGAAAATTGCATATACCTTGGGTCTCAAGATTTGTAAAATTTTGTAACTCATATGAACTTTTTGATTTATGTAACATATTTAGCTGGATAGGCATTTGCTTTCAAGATAAAAGTAGCAGATTAAGAAGTTCAGAATAAGAAGCAAGTCTTTCTGTAATCTTATAACTTCTTTGGTAAACCCACCACTCCTCACAAAAACTGTGGAGTTACATAAAGCCATCTTTGCACAATGTGATTCAGAGATTACAGTAAGCCTGCAATTTACATGGGGGTTATGTTCTGGGAATCATGCCTAAAGCCAAAATCGCGTATAGTCAAAACACATTGGGTTCCATGGCAGGTGGGATTGCCAAAGTCTTTTCCCCTGGATGCCTGCCTCCTTTCAACACCCTTTTTAATTACCGTATGTAAAATTGCTTTGACAAGCACATAAACCTGAATGCACCCAAGTAAAATATGTGTACGTTGCAGACTTACTATATACCAAACTACCTGCCTAGATCCTATACATTTGCCTCAGCATGTTTGTATCATGCTAAACAGTCATAAATGTTGGCACATGAGATCCTGAACATTAATGAACCAGCACAGCAAGTCTTGGAATTCCATCGTATCGACTGAAGAAGCACAAGTATATCCAGCAGCAATAAAACAGCTGATGTTCAAAAACAGTATTTCTTAAACTTAACCAAAATGGCTTTTATTTGAGAGGTGGCAGGGGGAGCTGTTTCATCATCATCATCATCATCATCATCATCATTTATTATTTATACTCCGCCCATCTGGCTGGGTTTTCCCAGCCACTCCGGGTAGCTTCCAACAAAGATTTAAAATACATTAAAAATACATTTCAGTACTCCAAATCAAATCCCATTTCAAGGGAACTTTGAAATAATCATGTTTCTATCCAAATTAGGGAAAACCATTTAGGGATTCATAGTAATTCTCTCCCCCCCCCACACACACATGCATGGATGGCCAACCAAAGCCCCTTTTTTCTTAAACTTCTCTACAGTAAATCAGCATAACCATGGCAGGACATAAAACAGAACTAAAGTTCAGATTTTTAGATGCTGAAAATATGATCCTATATTTCAAGGATCTTCACTGTTTTTAAAATGTGTGTACAGAAAAGAAAGCCTTAGCAAAAAGTGCTATCTTGTAAATGCATACATATATGTATCTTGATGGCATACCTGTATCACATGATGCTTTTCATGTAGTGTAGGTATCTTAAACATTTGGCACCAATATGTTGTATCTTTGTCTGGTATAGGCACCTGTCTTAATAAAAGGAAAAGGAAAGGCAAATATAATATAAAAGTATCTGATTTCTGCTCCCTGTACAGGTAGCTAACAGTTCCACCCATCTTACCCTGATACTTAATAAAAGCAAAACCCAAAGAAACTTACGCCTTGGTTTGTCAAGTCAAAATACGGCAACGAAGGAGCGATAATAGCAGTCTTCTCTGGGTTCAATAAACGAAGACTCTTTGTCCCTCGATTTGAACCGTGGTAATTTTGAACTCCTTCTCTAAAGTCTTTGTCATGGTATGCCCATATCACCCTCACTGTGCTTTCCTAGAAAGGAAAAAGAAAAACTTTACTGATTAAGTATGCAAGAAGATGTCTCAGCCGTCATTGGCAGCTTACCAGATGAATCTGCCCATCTATAACAGCCTTTCCCAATGATACCCTTCATATATTTTAGACTACAACTCTCATCAGTCCCCGCCACCTGGCTAGGGTTGGTGAGGGATAGTCCAGAAAGATTATTTAGTAAGGGATTGATAGCTGCATTTTATTCTTTTTGTAGTTCTATCACTCTGCACTTCATTTTGTTTTGTTTAAATTTGCTGTTAAAAATAGTTTTGTCTGCTTTTTATACAGCCTATATATGATCAAAAAAGCAGTCTATCAATATTTTAAATTTTAAAAATCCAAGAACATTCGTTTCGCCTATCCTAAAGTGTTCTGTACTTCAGGCAATGCCTCCTTGTGGAATTGAGATATACAGTGGTACCCCTGGTTACATACTTAAACCGTTCCGAAGGTCCGTTCTTAAGATGAAACCATTCTTAACCTGAGGTACCACTTTAGCTAATGGGGCCTCCCACTGCGTACACACCGCTGGTGCACGATTTCTGTTTTCATCCTGAGGTAAAATTATTTACCCAAGGTACTACTTCCGGGTTAGTGGAATCTGTAACCCAAAGTGTTTGTAACCTGAGGTGTTTGTAACCTGAGGAATCACTGTATTCTGATGCGTTAATTATTCAGGTGCTGCCACCAGAATCTGTAATTAAACAAACTTTGATTAGACATAGAGCTTTTCAGTGAGAAAAAGAAAGCTCAACAACTTTTCTGTCCGGATTTTCACATTTTGAAATATGGCAACCCTAGCATAGCATAATGGTTAATTGATCCAAGAATGTGAAGCTCACAAACAGCTTGATTTTTTTTGGCAGACTGTTTTATCTCTTCATTCATGATTTAAGTCTTACTCCCCTCTCTCTGAGTCAGATTGATCGTCAACTACTTACTGTTATACTCTTGTCATTGGGGTCACACGTGTGAAGTTGCCGGCTGAAAGCTAGTATCGTATGGGTACTATTTTCCATGGCATACTCCAGATGGTAGTCCTGCTGTGAGTCCTTTTTCAATGTTCTGTCTGCATTTGTAAAATAATCCTGTTGAAGAAACAAACCAGAACATTATCCTGCTGTTACTTTTTTTGTTTTGCTTTAAATAATCTGAACTCAACAACCTTTTGAGTTTTCTGGGAAAGAAGTGTAAAAGGATAAGTTGTAATTTTCTAAGAAAGTATTTTATATTAGCAAACAGGAAAACATCAGAATTTAGCCACCAGAATTTATTTTATAACTGTATGCATATATTTTCATCAGCTCAGGGAGGGAAGGAAAGAGCAGAAAAAGAAAACAAAGCAAATTTCCCAACATTGTCACCATGAAAACATGAAATACATTGTCATCAAAATAGTTACATTAAAAGATCCACGTGAAACATATTGTACAGATGATACTTCTTTGCATTGCACTTGTGGGTTATAAGTGTATCCATTATGGTTTTGCTTTACATTCGTAGAGTGTATAAACTATATAAACTAACTTTTAAAAGTTTGTTGTTAAAGTGTATCTATTTCAAAGCCCTCCTCTGTTTCATGTTTTAAAATCTAGGAATAAAGTGTCTGCATTAATGAACAATCTAATACCCCAATCCTAAACCTATGTTCTTAGTTCTTTCTATTTCCTTGGAACCTACTTCCTAGTCTACATATGGAAGGAAGTTATTCATAACCAAGTTATTGTGTGCGTGTGTGTGTGTGTGTGTGTGTGTGTGTGTGAGAGAGAGAGAGAGAGAGAGAGAGAGAGAGAGAGAAATATTAAATAGGAATATGATATTGCTGTACACTTTGTATGTGCCAACCCACAGGAATATTTTAATGTTTTTCTGAGGGAAGATTATCCTACTTCTCAATGTTAGCAGACATATGATATAATGCATAAGCTGCATTATAGTGTCATTAACCTCTTCACCTCTGAATTCTTTGTCATAATGTGCAGTTGGCTTTCTGACTCCTCTCTAGGTCACCATAAGTCCTGTGACTGACTTAAAATTCTCTGATGCTAATTCACAAAAACCTTCCATAGACTTAGAGACCAGGACAGTAATGTCATCTAATTTTCTCTTCTTAGCTTGTGGGGGCATTTGTGCATTTGTTTCCTATTTTGCTCAGAGTGAGTTGGCCAGGACCACATTCCAAAATGAGGTGTTGAGTAAGCTGTAGCTACTATGCTTTCAGACGCATTTTTCCAGCAGTTCTTTCTTTCTTCTTAAAAAAGAATTTTATTAGAGATACATGTAAAAGAAAAGGGGTGGGGCAGACAACAGACCAAATAAATAAACAGAAACTAAACACAAACAATTTGGGTGGATAACCCAAGGTATGCATCTCCAAGAAAACCAGTATATATTAGTGGACAAACATTTCCTGTCCGCAAATGATAAATCATGTAACAGATCAACAAAGATATTGACATTCAGTCAGTTCACTCACCTGCCTCCCATACCTGCTATGAGGCAAAATATTCTGAGTTTACATGTTACCTTGAATTACTCTATTATCATGATCATCAGAGCAGCTTTGTGTAAGGAGTTATTCTCTGCCTATGATATGGCACTGCGTGGCTCTGAATCACTGTGGCAACCCCCAGCACTGTATATAACTGTAGTCTGCCCTAACCTCATTGGCAAAGACATATGTGAAGAACTATGATAATGACTCCTTGACTCCATCAGGATGTGGCTTGGCAACCCCAGGAAGGATAGGAAGATGGGTGGGGTGGGTGGGGGTGGGGGCTAGAAGGTTGGCACCCAGAGATGGAGGAAGGAGGTCCTCCCCTTTGGGCTCTAGAAGCCAGAGAGGGGGAAGTAGATTTGCCAGTTCTTTCCATCCCCCCAATTGTGGACCAGGCACCACCTTTGTAGGTAAGATCACATGCACCCCCCAGACAGAGCAGACATGTGTACCTGTGGCAGACACACAGGACAAGACAGTCTTATGGCAGAGTTTGCCCTGCCTTATCTTTGAAAACTTGGCAGGAGGGGAATGTCACTTGTTGGGACATCTTCGTAGCTTCCATTTGCTTATGGACCTCTTGCCTTGCTCATGCGCCTTGGAATCTTGACTTCTGGGACTTGTGCTTGCCACTGAGCTTGTACCACTAGGAGCATGAACAGAGACATCTTCCTTATTCTGAAGTCACAGATGCTACCAGTGAGAGCCTGTCAATGGCAAGAACCATGTCAGGTCAAAGTATTGTGTAAAGAGAGCTTTAGATCCCTGCTGACCACATGTGATGTGCTGTTCATCCTGGATGCAGACTATATAATGCCAAAGTTTAGGATATTTTGAAGTAATGATACTGCCTAAAATCAGCACTTTTTTAAAAAAAAGAAAACTACCATAAGCAATTATTGGCTTGTGGGTGTAGTCAAACAATTAGATGTCTTTCATGCACTGGAAGTAATTTAGAAATTGAAGCAACACATGGTAAGTTGATTTTACGGATCATAAAAGATGAGGTATATAATTTCCTACAGATGAAGGCATTGATGATGAATTGCTCCTCACATGCTGTTGACCCTGCTCTCGCTCTCTCAAAAGGGATTTGCAGTTGATATGGTTTCTGATTAGTGCTATACAAAATGGCAAGGAGAGTACTTTCTTATGGATGTAGTAAAAATATGTAAATAAGCCCTGTTTTATCCTTGAAGAATGTAAGCAGAGCTGCACAAGGAACCTTGGGGGGGGGGAATCACAGCTGTCATTCTATCATTGAACAGGTGTTTTTATGGAGAAGATACCCTCCAAATACTTGACAACCTGCAATATATGTTGCCTCCTTCCATTAGTAAAGGAAGTGAGAATAATATGTTCAACTACACTGGGGCACTCCAACACAAAGGGTCACAAGAGTATTTGATAGCCTGATTATGCAATTCTACCAGGGCATATGGGGCATTATGCTTGTGGGGTGTTAATTTTATTCCACGTGAATGAAAATTATGGATGAGAGTGTTCATTCTGTACCACTCAAGTCAGACTAGTACAGTGACTAGTGTGCCAGGTCCACATTCACATTTGGCACAAGTTAAGCTCTCAGCTTAACCTACATGGTTATGTTGTGAGGGTAAAATGTCAGTCTGAGATTCACTGGAAGGATTCAAATGTAATAAAGAACCAAAAAAGAATTGCTTCAGGCATTTTTAGGTGGGGAACCATTTAGAACTGGCAGGCTGACAAGTCATTTATTATCATTTAACCTGGCTTTGGGGAATTATGCAGATTTACAACCTAACACAACAGAGACCACACCCTGCCCCTCAGGCTGGGTTTCCCCAGCAGGGCTTGATTAATTATAGCAGAGGGTCCCAACCAGGGCTATAGGTATTTTGTATATCTGTGGAAAAGCTGAGAAGAGGGGGGTGTCTGTGAGGGGTTTTATCTTAAAAATAACACTTGTTTCTACACCTCATGGTAAAAGAATACAACTTCAGAAATTGTGTCCTTTCTTCACAATTTGTTTCAGCCGTGTGGAAAACCTCTATCTGTACTCAACACTTCTTCAAAATGGTTGTTGAATTAATGCAGATTTGAACACATGTTGAGAAGAAGCAGGTCTGCTGTGTGGAAGGCCAGTAAATATGGAGCAAGATGCCAACTACCATGTTTTGTTCTGGTTTCTCAAGTGTGAATGCTCTTACACTACAAACTCACCCCATAGTTAAGTCAATACAGGGAGGCTTCGTACTGAAATGCCTCCAGCCAAACACCAGCTGACATATAAAGTGTGTGTCACACTGACATATCTCCCCTTACTGCTTTTCTATTTGTTTTCTTAGCATTTCTTTGTTTATGTTGGCATGAGTGCATTTAAAAGAAGAATATGGTTCCATTCACCATTTTCTCGCTTTTCAAAATCTATTCTGATTGTTCCTCTGTAACATCTCAAAACTGATTGTATTTGATAAAACAAATATTCTTCGTTATGGGTGTCAGCTAACAAGCAAGGGTTATAATGAACACAGCGTATTAATGAAGAGCTATTCACAAAAGGATTTATGCCTCAAGTAAGGGCTATTTTTGTACAAGAATTCAACAGAAGGGTTTGCAATGCAATGTTCTGTAGAACTTGCACAAAACAAGCATTCATAAAGAAGGATTACCCTCTGCAAAAATGGATCTCACAGCCACTGCAGGCTGCGGGTGGGGATGCACAATTCCAGAAGGGGGTGGAGACCATGGAGGAGGCAAGAAAATGCAAGCTGTGTCAATTCATGAGCAAAAAAGAGAGGGTCTTTCAAAAAGCTAGATGCAAAAATTAGAGCTGCCTTGAGCACTCTCATGGCAAGTAATCCGCCAAGAAACTCACTTTGGCAATATTGCAGTGGCAAGATAACTACAAGCGCAGACAGACTGAGCAATTTCTCTGAGGCAGCACCAATCAAGTATCTTCGCTTCACTGCACTGAGGTACATGTGCTTTTTCCATGCTTAAATGTATTCATAATAATAGCTCCACCCGTCTGCAGCTACTTTGCTACCATTGGCCTGCAAATGTGTCTGTAGTGAGTGCTCTCTCCCTTTCTCTTTCTCTCTCCCCCCCCCCGCCACCTTAGCTCAACTCTCACTCTTTTCCCACCCCTCATAGAACAGCTATTAAGCATGCTTGAGAGACCACTCTTATTTAGACACAAGTCTTGCACTTTCCAAATAGTTAGAGCTGGGTTCCCACTCTAATCTCTGAGCTCCTGGAATGCCCGGCCACTAATGCATCATTCCAGGCTCCCTCTCCACTCAACCACAGTTTTTGAAAGAATGTGTGGACCCTTTGTAAAGTTCTTTTTTGTCTCCATAATATAATTGCACCCTTCAACCTGATTGATCTATTTACAAGGAGTTAGTAGAAGCATCTTTCAAGTTCTGTTTCATCATACCAGATACTGAAGCAAAAGCCCCAGGTAACATCAAGCGGCACAGAGAGAGATAATTATTTATGTTTTTTATTTAAAAGTTTTCCTGATCTCTAGTACTTGGCAAATATTTTCTTTTTTGGGTGGGGATGTGGGAAATCAATTCCTGGTGGGGCATTTAAAATTTTTAAAAGTCTGTGAAAAAAGAAAGCTCTGGCTTGTTTGTGCATATATGTGTGTTTTTCTTATAAATACACTTCAGTTCCACTGTTCAGATCTTCCACTATGAACTTTCACAGATCGATCAGCTAGATGTTGATCTATATCTTCCTTGATGGAAGCAAAGCAGTTTTATCTAATGGAGCATATGAATTGCAAGTTTCTTGGGAGCAGGGCCTTTTTAAAAAAACGAATAAAGCCATGTAAAGCACCATATTGTGTGCACCAATATGGTGCAAACATAATAATTCACTTCTGTTTACTTATATAAACATAAGTAAATAAGTATAACTAAAGAAAAAAGATAAATGCCTACTTTGTGGTAATCGAACCTTTATATTGTCACTAATCTGTGCTAGATGATATAAAACAGTTTCCTGTGTTCCTACGATCTTTTGTCATGTGGCTGGCTGCTAAGTTGAATCATGAGCCTTTTGTGAGGAACTTTATCAAAAGCATTTTGGAAGTCTAAGTATATAATGTCAACCAGATCTCCCCCAAGTGAATACTTGTGGACACACTAAAAGAATTCCAAAAGGTGTGTGACACAAAACCTTCCTTTGCAGAAGTCCTGCTTGTCAAGGTTTGTTCTTTTATGTAACTGCAAACTGATGTAGAAATCTGCTGAACTGAAGAGAGTGAAAAAATGAGAAACTGAGGAGAAACAAAAATCTCCAGATTTGCCCATCCCTACAAGGGGACAAATATTCAACGTTCTATTACTAATAATATTAATTCCTGAATCTGTGCACATGAAGTGTGAACACAGTCACGTGAACATTGGGGCTTGTCATCATTAGCAATGCTAAAACTTAGGGCTGCAATCCTAAGCACACTCAACTGAACACAGATTTACATACTATGAATGCTCTGTCAATGCCAGATGAGAAACAGACAGATGAGAGGCAGAAAATTACTTGTATGTCATTGCCTTTTCCTCCAATGAGCACGCTATCCATTTGATCACTCATCTGCTCACCTTAGAAGGGTCTTAGATAGACCCAAGTCTTGCCCAGGGATCAACCCTCAAACCTGCCGAATTCAGAACCAGCTTCAGCACTAGGCTTCTAACCTGGGAGATAAAGCTATTCATAAAATAGGTCAAATTTTTAAAAACGCTTTTAAGTCTTCTACTACTCTCTGTCTCTCATAGGATTGCTGGCACACACCCTCCCCATAAAAACACACGCCCCACACATGCCAGAATAACTCCAATACGTGTTTGAATGTTTCCTCATATTAATTCTTTTTACAACCCAGCAAGTTCACTGAAAACGCGCAAGGAGGTTTTTCGAAACCTATCCCTTAAGAAGCATTGGCACCAGGTGTTTTTTTTCTGTGAACCGCCCCAAGATCTTTTGATGAAGGATGGCATATAAATCGAAAATGATAATAGTAGTGATAATGGCATACTAAATGACTATTCAGGAGAAGCAAGCATGAGATCCCATTTTGCCCCTTGCCCCAAACGGTCGCGATTTGGTGGCTGTCCCGTTGCCTTTCACTGCACCAGCAGCTTTATAATAGACCCTCGTGCTCTGAGCATGCACAGAGTGCACGGCTGCCCATTCCACTGAGCAGCTGGAGCCTGGACCCCTAAGGAGCTTGGATCCCTGGTCCTGGAAGGGGGAGCCAGCCCTTCTTCTCCTTCCCTCTCCCCCACTGCACTTGTGAGCCAGACCCCCTCCCCTGATCAGATCGTACTCTGCCCACCCCCCCCCTCCAGCGCTGTCCAAGGCGCCCGTCCGCCTCACCTGCAGGTAGGGCTTCCCCGCGTCCAACCCGCCCAGCACGATGTCCGCCGAAGCCATGCCTCCCGTGGGCGAGAAGCCGAAGCCCACGTAGCCCGCCGCGCGCACCTCCAGGCGGAAGGCGATGGAGCTGCCCTGCGCAGCCCACGAGAGCCGGTAGCGGGACGCCCCGTCCAGCACGGCGCTGTGCGGGTAGTGGCGCCCGGGCACGGCGGGCAGCCCCCACAAGAGCAGCAGCAGCAGCGGCCAGCGGCGCATCCTCGTCGCCCGCTGAACCCGCGCCAGGCGCGCACCTCAGCCGACCGCTAAGCTGTAGGGACTGAGCTGGCCGAGGCAGCCTCCTGGCGCCTCCGCCAGGCGCCGCGCCTGCTCATTGGACGGGGCGGGCGCCCGGCCTCACCCCGCCCCCGCGGAGTCAGCGGGCCTCGAGGGCTGAGGAAAGCGCGGGAGAAGGAGGAGGAGGAGGAGCGCGCGACCTGGGTGAGGAGCCCTGTGGAGAGCCGGCGAAGCGAAGGTCCTGAGGGGAAAGAGCGAGGGGGCAGAAGCTCGCGGCTGGGCAACGAGGAGCCCCTTCCTCCCTCGTCAGACAGGCAGAAGTTCGACAGGAGAAGCCTTTGACACGAGCTCCTCTTCAGAGTCCTGCTGCTGAGAGGCGGAGCGCGGGAGAGAGGTGGCACGTGCCTCGTGGACGCGGGAGGGAAGGAGGGGAGCGACGCGCGCCCTGCCAGGTGGGGGGTTTCTCAGGTACCAGGTAGATAACAGGCAGCACATCCTGTAAGCCTCAGCAGGGTGGTGCCAGGACACAGCCTGGTTCTGCAACAGGTAACTGAGTCAACCTGTTGGTCCTCCCCTTTTGGCTCTAGATGCCAGAGAGGGGGAAGTAGATTTGCCAGTTCTCTCCATCCCCACCAGGCACAATAAGATCAGACAGAGCAGACATGTGCACCTGTGGCAGACACACAGGACAAGACAGTCTTATAGCAGAGTTTGCCCTGCCTTATCTTTGAAAACTTGGCAGGAGGGGAATGTCACTTGTTGGGACATCTTCGTAGCTTCCATTTGCTTATGGACCTCTTGCCTTGCTCATGCGCCTTGGAATCCTGACTTCTGGGACTTGTGCTTGCTGCTGAGCTTGTACCACTATGAGCATGAACAGAGACATCTTCCTTATTCTGAAGTCACAGATGCTACCAGTGGGAGCCTGTCAATGGCAAGAACCTGTAAGCCTCAGCATGGTGGTGCCAGGACACAGCCTGGTTCTGCACCCCTCTAGTCCAAGTGGCAGAGTCAACATGTTGCGCTGCAGTGCGTTTGCTTCACCAGAGGTGCTGCTGCTGCGTGACCTCTAAGTGGTTTCCACAGGTGGCGCCTTTCAGGTGTCAGATGTGATGCTTTGGCTGCACTGCACTTTGGCCCCACTGCCCTGAACTGAATCATAGAACTGTAGAGCTGGAAGGGATCCTGAGGATCATCGAGACTAGAGCAGGGTTTCCCACACTTGGGTCTCCAGCTGTTTCTGGACTGCAACTCACAACATCCCTAGCTAGCAGGACCAGCAGTCAGAGATGATGGGAATTATAGTCCAAAAAACAGCTGGGGACCCAAGTTTGGGAAACCCTGATCTAGACCAACCCCCTGCAATGCAGGAATATGCAGCTGTCCCATACGGGGATTGAACCTGCAACCTTGGCATTTTCAGCACTATGCTCTAGCTATCCAGGTTGATCCTTTCTTAGCAGGCCATGTGACTGGTGGTCTGAAAGAGTGTCTTTAAAACAAAACCCCCGCAGTGATTTACATCTTTTTCAGTCAGTTGCCCCATCCCCCCAGTGCCATTCAAGCAGCTTGGCACCACAGCATTGAACCCAGACATAGGTATGGAATGAAGGGAAATGAGACCCTTGCTGAAGGGAAACAGACCTGGGAACCATATGCTTATTGCCTTTGGTTCTGTGGTGGAAGAAAAGTGATATGAGAAAAATAATCTAAGCTGCAGCCTGGACAAGACCTAGTATATCATGTGGTCAGTAGGATTGGGACATTAATTGTCTTACCCTATCAACAATCACATAGTGAAAACTACATTCCAAAAGTTTTAAATGAAAAACCACACATCAAAAACATAACCAGCTTAGCTGCTGTTTAATAACCATTAATAACCAGAATGGCTGAGGCAACCCCGTCAGATGGGCGGGATACAAATAAGTTGTTGTTGTTGCTATATAACGACCTTGTCATATTTGGAGTAAGGCTGGGGAAGTAAAAGGTAAAGGTAAAGGTACCCCTGCCCGTATGTTGCCAGACTCTAGGGTTGCGCTCATCTCACTCTACTAGCTAACCAGTGCTGTAGACGACTTCCGGGTCACGTGGCCAGTTGGGGAAGCTGCTCAGCGACCAGAGCGCCCGAACACCGTTTACCTCCGCTAGTAGGGTCATTTACACTTGCACCGAAGTGCTTTGAACTGTAGTTGGCAGCTGGACGAACGACAGGAGCGCACCCCCCGCCAGGGATTGAACCGCCGACCTTTCGATCGGCAAGTCCTAGGTGCTGAGGCTTTAACCCACAGCGCCACCTGCGTCCAGGCTGGGGAAGGGTAGGTTATTAATCACCTTTTCTGTGCATGGTTATGGACTAATTTGGAATTCTAATTGTTAACAACTGTGAACAGATGGAATATTCATCCAGATACAGTTAACAGCATTTTAGTGCAAACTCAGTTGTGGAAGAAGCTGATGTCTGTACGAACCTAAGTTTCCACACACAGCAAAGAGGACTACTTATGGTAAATGGAAAGCATTCTGAAAGGCTTGATATATTACGGTCACTTTAAAAAAATATCAATAAACAAAAACAAACCACACATCATTTAGAGAAAGCAGAGGAATGCCAGACTTTCCAAAAAGCTCACACTTTGGCTGATCCCTGCAATGGCTGTGTGTACATTGCCATTTACTCCAGCTCCAGTGCACTCCCACTGCTGGTGTTTGAAACAGAGTACACATGACGTTGGCCACAACCCATATGTATCCTGAAATTTCTCGAGAAATACAGAGGATTGATGTGATTGCCCTCAAATCAGCTTCTGTCTGACTTGTGAGCTTAAGCTGAGGTGTTAGAGTTGAGCTGAGGTGTGAACATTTTGGAAAACCTTTGTGCATGCTCAGATGACCGCTTCATTAAATAGGAGTTTAGTGGGGTCGCAGGCATGGGGAAACCAAACAGTTAAAGCTCATTGGATGAAGACCTCTTCAATGTCTGTCTAGTATGAACAGCAATTTAAAAATGGAATGGGGCAGAGGGGAGAATGACCTCACTGCATTTTAAGCTGCTAATGTGTACATAGCCAATGTCTTCTGGAATTATGTCCCATTGTGAAGCACATTTATATATATTTTTTTCTGTTTGTGTTCTGTTAGGACAGCATGTAGAGATTGGGATCTAATCCACAAGAAAGGGGGTAGCAAAAGGACGCCGCCCTGTATGAAAGTAAAAGGGAGAATTGCCATTTACTTCAACCACAATGTACACTTTTCACACTTTGTAGATAAAATGATGTCATCATAGAATTAAGGAGATGGAAACCGTTATTTAAAAAAGTACTATAACGAAGGAAAGAGGCCAGCTTTTAGAAGTGGCTGGGGGTAGGTGGGGGTTCATGCCAAGTGTGTGGTACACAAACAGAGCTTCTTACACCACACTGCTAAATTAAGGGATGAGATCACATGTTTCCACTTAGTCTTTTAAGCTCACTTTTTGAAACCTTCCTTTAAAGCTGTGCCATGTAGAAATTTCCAGCTGAAATAGTTCCTGCTTTAGACGTTCACATCTTCATCTCAAACACCTTCCTCCATGGCTCATGGTTCAATGGGGCAGATATTCTGAAAATGTCTCCAAAGCTTGAATGTCCCCTGAGCCTTCAAAGAGCATTGCCTCCAAGCTATCAGGCTTTTCCACACACTTATGTCCCTAGTTTAAAACTCATATATCCATCAGTGGCCTGTGTGCTAATTTGTTTGGAAGTTTAGCAAGCTGCACAGGACTATATCCAGAGAAGAGGTAAAAGACCTTTGGATAAAAGTGGAGAAGGGCCATTTCAAGCTAGTGAAGAGGGGTAAACTACAAAAAAAAAAAAAGTCCAAATTGGATTGCTGCTAGTATCAGCAGTACATAACTTTGGGAGTGCACTTTACACTGAGTTACAAGGTTAAACTGACTTGAGGCTGTAAGAGGATATACTGAATGGATATCCGAGGGTTTTAAAACGAAGCCTGGATTATAGAAGGATCTACTGAGTGCATTAATTCTCAGTAATCACAGTTTCTATAACTGTTGTTCTGATTTCTCCAAGATTATATCTTTTTCAGATAATCAATCTAGGGTACTCTTTCAGGGCTTTTTGTAGGTCCGGGTTGCAAATACAGAGCCTGTGCTTTTAAGTTTCCACATGCCTTGTATCTGTTTTCACAGTCTGATGAATGCACATAGAGTCGGGTGTGGGACCTGCCGCTACAGCCCTGCTCCCTGCTGCCAGATGCGTTCATTTAGCTCACACTGATCGTCTGAAAATAGCTTATCGTTATTATCCCTCTTGCTTAGAGGGAGGGAAATAAAACTGGGACTGAGTCTCTTGCTAAGTGTCATCCACTTAGCATCCAAAGCTGGGCCTTGAGTTCTAGTCACCAAATTAATTACATTTCCTACCTTCTGGCTTTCACCACAGCTCTGAGTGCTTGTCGGGTGAAACTTGGGAGTAGGAGAAGATGACCAGTTTTGGTTGATAAATTTAAGCTTGAGTGACAGAATTGCAAATTTAATAACTGTCTTAATGAAGGCAATGTAAATGTGATGGTAAGTAGAACTTGTTTAGTGCTGACCTTTATCAATAAGCTTTTAGAAGGCCAGTGGGAAATATTAGACATTTACAGAAAATCTCAAGGTCAACTGAGCATGGCCAGTAAATTACGAAGTTCTGTCCTCATTTCCATCATTTAGTATTAAAGGACAAGATTCACCATAGCTAGTTTGTACTTTCCCAAAACAAACCTTGTGACATAAATATATCTGATTATTTAACAGTGAATCTCAATGCCAAACAATTTGCCCCAACAAAGAGCTATCACCTTAGGGTAGATGGCAATATTTACATTGGAGCTGGGGTAAATGTTGAAAATGTGACTCATTCATTTATGCAGTTCACTGGTACATTTCAAGAGCCACCAAGTATCTTCTGTAAATTAGCAATTTTTATCTTAATTTCTATCATAACAATTGCTGTTGGGATCTACTAGGGCAACAGTACATTGCTATGGATTCTTGAGATATTATGAATGC